ACTCGGTTGCTGCTTGACATAGGTTGCTTTGCCTTTTAAAATTTTGCATGTGGAGGATATAAAATAAAATAGTTTTTTAGGTTTTAACTAAAATAACTAAAAATAATAAATTAATACATCAATACCATAGAATTCTACTATAATTTATCAAGCTTAGTAACTAAGATGTATTTTCGTCTAAAAAAGTAAGAAATTTCGAGCATACTAAAGACACACCCTACCTCCTTGAAATCTTGCTTTCAAAGAAAGAAATTGTGTCCTAAGAATTGAAAATGGCTGAGAAAGCCACTAGGGGGACATTCTGAGCTTTTGATTGGTTATTCATCTCATATATAGAAGTAAGTGTATATAAGGGAGCATTTCCAAAAATGGAAAGTGGTGGGCAGGGTGCCACTGTGATTTTATTACATGAGCAACATGTTAGGAAAATAAAAAGAGAAAAGGCTCTTATTTTATATTCTAGCTTGTCAATATCGGTAATTTGAGTTCCTATTTCGTATGAAACTACAGACATCACAAACATCTAATTTGAACCAGTGCTGCATTCAACATACCATGTAACTAATAAAAATTGATGTTTAACTGTGTTTTTTTAATATTTACTTTCAAATTAAAAAATTGAATAAGGTATAATACTAGAATTGGAATTATAATCTATAGTTTGATACGAAAAAATTATTGACATAAATTCATGAAATAGTAGTTCAAACATTTTTTAATGCGAGTCAACAAACGTGATGACATGGCCTTTCACCCGTGACCCATCTGAAAAGGGTTAAAACAAAACAGAAAAATCTGTATTTTTTCAGTTGTTCGTTGACAGTAAGAAACTAACTCTGAGATTGGATTGTCTGCTATTCAGTAGTTAGTAATGCTTTTTTTTTTTTAAACTTACAAGCTTAAGTTATTTCTGACTTATTTAAATGTTGATTATACTATTTACTTTAGCAGGAGGTAAAATGTAGAAAGGAAGATTTTTTTTTCTTATATCTGTTTGGATAGGTAGTCATCCTGGACTCATTCCTAGCATAGAAGTCTGCATACATCATTTTATAAAGTGTGTTTAAAAGCACATTAATTACTTTTATAGTGTGTGAAGAGCTGTTTATATAACAGTGATGAAAGAACAAAAAAACATTCCTTAATTTCTGCTCCACTTGCATATCAGTTGAATTTAGCATTTGTTTCGGTTTCTTATGCAGAGGACATACAGTTCCTTATATGCAGAGAGATAAGAGTCTAACATGAGGTGTGATGTTTTTTCTCCTGTTGGCTATGAGGCTGAGTTGTGGAAAATCAAGGGTGGACTAATGAGACTTTAAACTATTTTTCCAGCACCTTCCTTTACTCAGACAACTTGTATGCAATGTTTGTCATGTTTTGAGTATTTCTTCTGTGGCTTATGACTCGTCACCTTGCTTATAGGGACAAACTAGTTCATTTGATTACCTGGTCCTTCCACCTTCGCCAGACATTGTTGTGCATGCAAGGAAGTTTGCAGATCAATTGGGGGAGGGTGCTGCCATGCCTTGTCCTCCTTGTTTATTGGATTATCACGCCTTGGCTTTCCATTGCCTGGAGTACCCTTATATAGACTCTCAGAAGTTAGATCCTCTACTTCCTATTTGGGGCTCTAGATAATATACCAGTGTTCATCTTACTTCATCTCAGTTTTCTGGAATTTATCAATCACTTACAACACTTTTTGTCTTTTAGCATCTTTGCAACTGTTGTTTGAGGTCTATATTAGTTCCCCTTTTCAAATTTTGGAGGATCTTGGTCACTTCTTTTCTTCCATGTTGGTCTGGTTATTGGTTTCTGCTCTCTCCCTGATATCTTGGTTGGTTTGTTGCTGGGATCTTTTGGAGAGAGATGCCTTACTGGAGTGAGTTTGCCTTCCTGTGTTAGATCTTAAGAGTTCTCAGCAAAGCTCCTTTTCTCTGACAGTCTATTTTACAGGAATTCCAGACTCCATGGAATGTTGGGTAATTGTGGCCTTTCTACACTTTATACATTAGAACATGAAAGTGATTCTGACCTTACCAGTGAGGATCCTCCTCCAAAGTGGAGCACAGATTTCAGGGTTGGTTCCTATCTTATGGGGTCAGGTCCTGTAGGGTCTCATTTCAGAGGGTTTGTGTCAGTATGGGAGACGTTCACCACAGATCAGTTGATCATTCAGGTACTCTGGGGTGGATTGGTCATTCAGTTCACGTCTCCTCTTCTACTACCTCTCATACCGGTTGGCTTTCCACTCTCCATGGACCCTATTACATCCAACCATTGAGATCAAGCGATCCATGATCTCCTGCATCAAGAGGCCATAGAGAAAGTCACCTCTTCTATTAGGTTTTTTTCATTCTCAGCTGTTTATAGCACCATAAAAGACAGGTGATTGGCAACCAGTCATCGATTTTGCTTGTCCCACTTACTTCCTCCAGCCTCCTTGGTTTACAATAGAGTTGTTCTTTCCCTTTGGTGGTTCTTTTCACCAGGACTATGGATGACATAATTTGACATTGCAGAGACCTACATTCATATCCCAATAGTCAAGTTTTCAAGGCATTATCTCAGTCTTGTGTACTACAACCAGGTTTTTCATTTGGTCTTGCATCTGCTCCATACATTTTTTGCTGGATAGTCATAGTTTTTTTCATGTTATTCTCACTCTCTTAGCATGCACACTCACAATTACATGGCCACCTGGCTTCTTCTCACCCCTTCCCACCATTTGGCAAAACTGCACCTTCAACCTCTTGTTATCAGAAACTGTCAGGGGTGTTTATTATCAAAACAAAGAACTTTTAGAAGTACAATGGGCAATAATTCAGGATTTCATTATTGAGAGAGAAGGTGGTATTGCTTCATTTGGACAATTACACAGTAGTCTTGTACATTTCAAAGCAAGGAGGCACTCCAGGTTTGTTTTTTTTTACCAGTGGATCTTCTCCTTTAGGTACATAACCAATAGATTGTTCTCCTTGCTTGCTTGTCACATTCCAGGGGTAATGACTCTAGTGGCCGACCAGTTTTATTTTCACCAGAGCTCTTCCTATGGAATGAATGCTTCATCCTCAAGCTTTTCATTGGATTTGCTCTTGTCTAGGGACATCACGGATTGATGCTTTCACCACACATTGGAATGCTTGGCTCCCATCCATGTCAGAGTCCACACAGGCAGGTTTAATTGCTTTAGAACACCCTTTGATGAGACAAATTATTCTCCTAAGGTGTCAGAAGACTGTTAATCTTAGGCTATCCACTCCTCCAACAGTTAACTTTCATTTTCTAACCTTTTCTTTGGCTGTACTTCTACTTCCCATTCTCTGATCTCTTGGTTGCTCTGTCTGTCTGCTGTTTTCACTTGTCTCACAATATTCATATGTTTATCACTTAATTGTCTGCCTGCCTTCTAGAAATCTCTATATTCTAGACATCAATGTATTGCACGCAACATTCGATAGTCTCAACACAATGAATTATAAACACAACTTCCAACAAATGTCTGTTTTTTACTCTTATTATACAAACACGCTAAACAATCATAAAATATTAACTCACAAAATAGATAAATTAATACTACTTACTCTAAACAGTTTTGTATATCTGACATAAGTCCCTCTTCAAGATAAGTATTTGCAATATTTTTTTACTATATACAAAGACTGTTCTTAGTTCATACACAAAGTCTGCTCATACAGTCTACACTAACATTCACAGTTCCTTTATCTGTCTCTCCTAGCATAGGGTCTCCAGTAGGGCTTCTTTTTAACAGGATCCCTCATCTTCATCTTGACCTTGTGTTGTCTGAAGTCTCTATTTCCTAATCTATCTGTATGCTGACACAGTAGATTTTGTTTCTCTTCCCTCTTCCTATCAGTCAGTTTGACACTCATGTTGACATCCTTGTATGTCTCATCTCTACTCAGTGCTCTTAGGCTTAGTAGATCCTTGTTTTCTATAATGAAGTCACTGTCTTCAGATTTTGCTTCTGTGACAGCCATACCTGCCATGTCCATTTTTATGTCAATAGCTACACTCACAAGGTATTCTTTCCTCCTGAAGTAAACATTGACATGGTAGACATTAGTCTTCACTTTCACTTTATAGTTGACCACTTCCTGTAATGTGA